TGTTTCTAACGCTGTTTCTTTTTGCATGTTTTTGTGATACGATCGAAAATTCCGTCTGTGTCGGATGGCAAATCTGTGGTTTTGTTTTGTGTTGAGCCTGGTCCCGTTTTTTTGTTGGTTGCTTTTGCTTCCTAAGACGAAACGCAAATCTAGCTGTGGATTTGCGGATAGTCTGCTGCTTTTTCTTTTTGCCTTGTTTGTAGTTGTTGTTTTTGTCTGATTTGTCCACACTTTTTTGATATGGAACCATTGCGTGTCATGGCGAGTTTATACTTGCACAATGTAGAACCGAGCCTTAGAGCGACATGAACCGGAGGATTAAAAAAAAGAGGAATCGGAGTACTCTGAGAGTTAGCAACGGCTGTCCGTCAATTTCATGTTTCACTACCACAGCAATCTGTCAAATCAACCTTCTGGGATGAATTTTGAAGTTCCCTAGCTTCGGCATGCAAGCAATTCAATTTGATCCTGCCAGCGCACATGTCGGAATGGAGAGTGAACGGGTGCGGTGCCCCTTAGCGCCAAGCTACTGTGTGTCGAATGTTGAACAAATGATGGCAACATGGACCATCTAAGGCACCAAAACAAAAACATGGCTGGAAGCAGGACCAGCTTTGGATTATCCCCGATTGTGCAATTACTGGAAGCAAAAAGGAAATCAATATGAAGTTTGAGTGATTCTGCATTTGCGTTTTTCTCTCGAAGCGTCATAGGGCATGTTCCTGTTTTTGTATTAAGGTTTTTGGGATTTATATAAGTGTTTACATATCCATAAATTTCATTAACCCTTTTACAAAGGCGATATACCATATCAATTGAAACCTGCAATAATATGGATATCAAATTTAATCTTTGAAACTTCCACCACCAAAGCTGGATTAGTCTCAAACTGATCCTGGTTTTATGGAGGAATAAGATGATGAAAGCATTATTCCTCCAAATAAAAATTTGTGAAGAATTACAAATAAGGATCGAACAATCCTTTCTGTTTGGTGGTAAACAAACAAACATAAAAGAAGGTTG